CCCCAAACCCCCCCCCCCCCCCCCCCGAGGCGACGACGACGATTCCGATTTTAACCACCGCGAACGATTCATCGATAATAAAACGTTACCGCAAAATGATCGCTTGCTGATTACTTCCTTAAACATTAGCGTTCTGAGATCTTCGTTTTACTTTGATGAAGAGCTATCTCTATTCGAGTGTGATCTCGCTTTATTTTACCGGTATATTTATGCGAGCACATTTAGAACGTTGTGCATGAATTTAAAATGATCGAGTATGAAGAGATTTTTATAGCAAATTTTCTTTTAAAGCCCTGCTACGTCTCGTCAAGTTATTTCGCAAATTATTAATTTCTATTCGTCATCGATGTTCGCGAACACCAGTCGGCCGTTGATATTATCAACGACGTCGACTCAACTCATGGGGTGGAATTGAGGGGGCGGGGGTCGAGCCGCGGTGGCGCGGCATTGTCGAGTGGAAAGGGGTCCAATCAATCAGCCGCAAATCAGTATGCACGGCACGTTCGCCTAATGCCGCCACTCTTTCATCATATTCATTTGATCGCGACCCCCTCAGCCTGTGCACGCAATCGTTAATGGCGCTGTTTAAAGATCGCAACCGATCGATGTCGAGACCTCGCGCGCGTCCGTGAAAAAGGGATATATGTAGATTCAAATAAAAATTACGGCTTTCTCTTCACATAATAAATAATCTTAGCGTCAATGTGCCATTGCATTACCAAAGCATAATAAATAAATTCGCAGAATTTTTGTAAACTCAAGCACTGAAATATTTTATATTCTTAATGAATTGAATTTCTGTAGATAAATTATTATTTTTTCTAAATTATTTCTCTTATATAATCTTTCTCTCTCTCTTTCTTTATGCAATAATACAATATATGCTGGTAACTATAAAATATTGTAAATATAATTTCTAAGTTAATCTCTTTGAAATGTCATTTTTGTGGAAATATTACGACGATTTCATCAAAATGTCTGGAAATAAATCGCTCATCGAGTTGAAGATACGCTCGCGATTCAAGTAACCGTAAACCGTGCACGTTCGAGAGAATCTCGTAATTGACGAAGAAAGAATCGCGTTTTCCCGGGAACGTTTGTAGCCGCGGTTACACATCGATAATGATATATGGACTCTTGCTATCCGTGTTTTCGTGGCTTCGCAAAACAACCAGCTGCCATTCGTAAAGCGTTAAACAGATTACGGACAGCGGACGGTGCGATGCCACGAGGCAAATACGTCTTTGGCTCTCCGACTGGCGTGAGATCGAGATGGCAGGAGGCAGAGAACCGGGCAAATACGTAATCCGGATTATCGTGGGATCCGCTTACCTTACCGGACACTTGCGCGGTAGAACGATACGGCGCCGATACCGGTGCCGAGTCTTCACCCCCTTCCTACTCCCTTGGTCCCCTGCTCGCGCGAGATCCCCCATCCCCCTCCGTTCCCTCTGACCGCACTTCTACGTCCTGTAACACTTTTAAGAGGATTGCCCTGTAAGCCGTAATATTTTTAACGAGGCCCGACGTTCCTCGACGTGTCCGACCCGGCGTGTTCGTGACAAAAACGCAATCTGTCGAAAGTTGACTGACATTATTCGACAAGAAAACAAAGAAGTCTTTTCTAAGAAAACTCTCCTCTTATATTTGGAAATTAATTTTCTGCACTCATTGCCTGAATTTTTTAATTCGTAATTTAATTCTAAAAATACGTTCCGATCGTCGACGAAACATTGCAGCTTCCTGTATCATGTCGATTCATCGAGGCGTAAGTCGCAGGAAGCAGATATAAAATAAGCAAAGATAGACAGCGGATGAAAGAGAAAAGGAGAGGGAGAGGGGGGGGGGGGATATCCAATTTAAGCCGAGCCCACAGCGCAAAAATGCTTCCGAAGGCTCCGGTTTGGTTCATTAAATGAAACCCAATAGCGGTTGTTTGCGTTGCCAGACAGCGAATCCGTCGCAAATTGAATGCCATATTGTATAGGGTCCGCCCATGCGTTTTTCTATATAGCGTACGCGGCGTAGTTTTACGAAATCGACGCGAATGGCGGCTAACGTTTACATTGTTGTTTATCGTTCATTTACAAACTCTGGCGCAAAAACGACACGGTATCGTAATGAAATAAAATTGATAATCTATCATTCTCCATTATTTTACAACAGTGAGTTTATCATAGTGTAAAATTTTGTCAGATAAAAGGGAATACATTTTTGCGCGCTCGTTATTTACTGATGGCGCAACAACCCTGCGTCAAAGAATATTTTGCGACGCTTTGGAACGAATGGACGACAGCTATCGCGACGATATAGAGCGTAGTTAAAACACAATTACCGCGTCGCCCCTACGACAGACCGCGGGCGTACCGCGCTGTCAAAATAGATAACGTTCGGAGTAAGTCACCCCGAAGTTAAAACCCATCGCTGCAACGGGCGGTGTAGGACCATTCACTTTGGGTTAACGTCGACAAAGGGTGGTGTACAGGAGAATAGGAAGAGAGCGCAGGAAAACGGGGAGAGAAGGAAAAAGGGAGGGCGGGGGAGGGGAGGATTGCGTTACGGCGGGACCGTGATACGCTCCGCGTGCGCGTTTTGTTGCTTGCGACGAAGTTAGGGGTTGATATTGCGCGTCGTTGGGGTTGCCAGTGTGTGACGTCACGCGGCTGATTAACATAAACGGACGGCGTTCGTTGACAGAAGCGTTATCTTTTACTGCCCGTAACTGCTTTCCTGCATAAACTGACATCAATTAAGCGATAATATATCAGCTGGCGAAGTTTGAAATTTTGTTTCGTTATTGATTTGATTGTCCAGAATAAACGACGATTGTTTAGCGAGAAACCGCGTTCTGTGTCATCGATTCGCAACAGCTTATGAGAAATTTTGGTCTAGGGGGTTAGTCTCCGATAACGCTCACACATCAACCCTTTTATTACGGGACCGGATGACTGTAACTATCTAACGTGACATTAACGGAATCCTCGCTTGGCACTGAAATTATTGTTATTATTCCATAAATGGATATCGGAGAGGGAGACTTAGATTATGGAACGCTGCCCGCATATCTATTAGGATAGGGTACTGATTTTATTCACTTGCATAGATCTTACGTGCTTGTTATTGTATTTCAAATTTATACGTGTAATTAGATTTTAAAATTTTTCTAGAGTTATGTACTCTCGGATCAATACTTAGTTTTTCTAAAATTTTCATAAAAAAGCTTTAAGAGTTTTTAACGAATACATTATTCCTCGCCGGTGCTGAAATTCGCCGTTATTACTTCCTTATGGAACTTTAACGACACTTGAAAATAACAATCGAACTTTACAACTGCGTTTTATTATCTCATCTACGAGTGAGAGAATTCTCAATCTCGATTTATAGTTTAAGACCACGCGAGAGATGTATTATTCTAAGTCTCACCTAAAAAAATTATTTTAGAAAAACTAGAAAGAGAAAGAGAGAGAGAGATTATATGAAGCAGAGAGTATATAAAATAAAGTTGCCGTTACAATCGATTGCCTATCTAGTCGTAATGTATATATAATCAGCTTTCAGAGATAGATAATATAGAATAGAGATGTAAGGAAAGAGAGGAAGGAGAGCAAGGAGCATAACCGCGCTGGTGGGAGGAAAGACGATCGTCGGGGAAACTTTATCTCATTCATACTTTTGCATTTGAAAGCGGTAATTTATGCACGCGGCGAAGTGAGACGGAATGCACCGTGGAGATGCAAGCGGGAGGGGATGGCAAGTGAGTGCAACGGCGACGGAGCGTGCGTGCCAGCGTGCGCGAGAAAGAGGCACAAACGTCGCCATTATAATAGATATGTTAGCATGCAAACGCTGTCTTTTATACGTTTGCCAGTCTGCGGTAGTGGTGGCGATCTTCCAGGACCGTGCGCCTTCTCTTGCCGTACCCGAATCTAGTTTTTTCTACTTATAAACTTTGACAATGCGCGCGACACGACACATTTTATTCATCCATTTCTTTCTTGTGAACATTGTTGAATTAAAAACGATATGAATGCATGCTATAAATACAACGCAAAGATCGTACACTATACGGATGCCTAACTCAAGGGCTTCCAATTGAGGGATCACATCTCTCATTAGAGAGAGTGCATGATAGTTGAGATATAATTTGACATTTGTCAAAAGTCGAAAGTAGTAGTTTCAGATTCGAAGCTCTCATGATATCGATATTGACATATCATCTTCTACATCCCCTTCAAAGATATGTCGACCCAATCGTTGAAGATGCAACGTGGCTGTCGTCTCGAGGTATCGAGGTTTGCAGAGTAGGCCCATAAAAAAAAACGGCATTCCAATAAACCGATAGTTGATACATCCCTGGGGCCTCGCGAGCAAAAGCGTAGTGGCGGCACGAGAGGGGCGGCAAAGCACGGTTCGCCGGATAAGGGGAATGGTGAGAGGACAACGCGGTAGCGACTACGGCGGCGGGCGAGCGGGGGCGGCAGGGCCCGGCGAGAGAGGCAGCGGGGGAAACGCACGGGTTCCCCGAGGGGACGGGAGGAGGGGGCGGCGGTGGCAGGGGTGTATCTACTTACCATACTCCCAGTATACCAAAGTCCCGCGGTCGACGCGGCAGATAGTAGTCGCTGGCAAAGCAGGCATCTCGACAGCAGCCGCGAGAGCAGCGGGAGAGGGGAAGGGAGGGGGGGTAAAAAAATAAAAAAAGAGCCGGAAGCGAGAAGAGAGAGAGAGAGAGAGAGAGAAAGATAGACGAGATAGAAACGAGATAGACATAGAGAAGAGATGTAAAAAGAGAGAAAGAGAAGTCGCGACGCGCGAAGAAAATCCACTACACGTGTTCGCCATTCGCCTTTTCGTGAAGACGGAAGAAAGAAGCAACAAAAATGCAGAGATTCAACAAAGAGAAAATACCGCGAATCGAGCCAATGGAGATAAAATGGTCGAACGTAACGAAAGAAAGTGATCGGATGCATCGCGTGTGATAGCATATCGTTGCGTGTTTCGTGCGGTTCCGGTCACATGGATCACGTGGTAATCGCTGCCCCTTCCTCTCCTGACCGCCAGGGGTTCCTCCGACAGGCGGTGGGGATGTCAACCATGATTGGGAGAGATGTAGAAAAGAGGAAGTGGTAGACGATTCCTAGGAGATGAAAGCGGACAGTGAAGGTGAGGAGGAGAAGGAGGAGGAAGAGAACATTATTTCACTACCGATGATAATCATGTGAGGTGAGTGTATATATTATGCGTGAATACTTTTTCTGCAATAGTTTCTATCAAATAAAACTATTCTACTGCAAAAAGATGATTAAATATTACGCGATGATAAAACGTATTATATTATTGCTTCATACTATCTACGGAAGAGAATATTATTTATGCAAAAATTTTAAAAGTCTTAAAAAGTTATTAATTCATTCTACAAATCTATAAATAGTCTTACACGAAGAAAAATGAAAAATAGAATTGCGAGAGACAATTCTTTACTACAGGATAGATTAATGATACCGTAGATTATATTCCACGACAGACAATACGCGGCGCGTCCTCTTCTTTGCCGCGAGACTTAAATCGTCGTTTGGCAATGCCTTCGAGGCTCCACCAACCCACTTTAAATCGTATACTTGGCACATGAGCTAATTGGTCGTATCTCGCGTTAGTCGGCGTGTTTTATCGCGCCATTCGTAACCGGTCGAAAAGCATTCGCCGACGTTCGCCCATTCCAACGAGCAATTTAACGAAACGCGAAATGGGTAACGCGCTCGCCGACGCTCGATTTTTCACTCGCTGTTCCCACGTGGCGGGCGACCACGTGTTGACTTAGCACGCGTCTTACGATCGCGAGAATCCTCGCTCGCTTTTTCCTAGACAAATAGCCTAACCATAAATCATTGTACAAAAAAGAACATGCCAGAAAATCATACAGATTAAAAATAAATTAATTAAAGATCAGTATAAAAATTTAGATTTTGATAATATTTTGATAGAAGTTTCGCAAAATTTGTGTACAAAAATAGTTTTATAATCAAGACTTTTGTTCCAAAATTTATTTTACAAGTAAATCTTTAATATAATCTTCCTCGTTATTTGAGTTTTGAAAACATTTTTATTTTCTTTTTCGACTCTTGGTTCCTTTCATTGACGCTTATTGTCAGATGCGATGAACGCAAGTATCTCGCGGAACGACAGGATCTCGTAAGCCTCCGCCTCTATTTCTGTCCTACGAGCCGGACATGAAATTGAATTCGTACCGTGAATAACGACTAACAAACCGCAGTTATATCGTAAAAAGCAATGCAGCGGGATGTGAATTAATTCTGGCTCCGCACCCCACAGGCTATCCCAGAGCCCTTTGCCGCTCTCCGTCTCTCCTCACGCGTACACGCGGCGTCTCTCGTTTCCTCTGTCGCGGTACTTCTCTCCTCCAACTTGAAACCCAAAATTCAATAAAGGCGAACGAGTACGAGGTCTTCCCCTTGACCCCCTCGCAGCTTTCCGTATGGGGTGGTGGTGGCTATGGGGTTAGGAGTGCCGGAGTCATCGCGAGGACCCGGAGGGAGAGATGAAGGCTCGGTGCATACATTAGCGGGGGCAACGTGCGGAGATATTGTCTGAACAAAGGGATCGGCTCGTACCTATCGAAAAGGCGATTAAGCGAGGATAAAGTTAACTTCGCCTTGGGCATTCCTATTGAAAACACTCTTGGAAAAGACCTTTCTCCTATATTGTGACTCCCAGTGATATCGCGACTTAGTCTTGCTTCGGCAAAATCGGGTCAATCGATTAAAAAAAATTGTAACAAAATATTATATATTATATAATAATTTATAAAATCGGGAATTGTAATAATCAATAGTTTCGGAATATTCTACGCGATAATCGAAATGCAAAAGATATTTGTCGGTCATACAAATCGAATTCTTTGAAAGTTATTCACTTCTTTTAAACATGCCGTTGAAGTTTCGAAAGTATTCCAATAAAGCCAGTCCTTACAGCCTATGTTTGCAGCTGCATTTAAAACGACAAAAAGATTACGCCGACGTTATTCGCGACGCGTTATGCGATCCCGCAAACTTGACACAGCCAAGACAATGAAGGTAGAAAAACGGGCCGCGCGAGACGGAGAGAAATAGAACGATAGCGAGGACAGCGGGGCTGACAGGACACAATATTGCAATAACTTCAATTACGGCGACACGACGGATTGCCGTGGGGTAGATTCGACCGTTCCCCGTCCGCCCGTAGCCAGCTAGCCAGCCAGCCAGCCAGTCAGCCACCCCCGCCTGTTCCATCCATTTATATATCCGAGTGACACAAACGTCGTGGTCGAATTGGCTGTCGGATCTGAAAGGGGCTGCCTTTAAACAAGTGCTTCTTAATAAACCATTGACGCGCAAAACCACCCTCGAAAATTTGCCCCTCAGCGCCGCGTCGCCACCCTTCCTCAACGTCTAACGCCATGAGACTCCAGACCGTCGAGGGACTTTTAGCTTTCGTTACTTCGTTAAATTCAGAAAGGCAAAGCGCCTCCCGCGCTTCAAAGTAACGAAGCGTTCTGACATTTCTATTTCAAAAATTTTTGGGCACGCGTCAAGTTTGCAAATCAGGAACGATCTGATTGACATGGATTGACTATCGTATCTCAGAAGTTTGCGGCGTTCTGTTATAAAGTTTGATATAAATATCTGTACAGCAAATAGAATGAAAAGATATGAATTATATTATATATATATTCGTTATAATTTACAATTTAATAACCAAATTAAATTTTTCTATACATAAAAAAAATTATTTTTTCCAATAATTTACAAAAATATAAATATACAAAATAAAAATAATGGAAGGGGATAAAAATTACATGTCCATTTAACAGACAGGTCCAACGGCCAAGATCAGCACGAAATTTTTTCGCCGAAAGAATCAAGAAATGTTTGTATATAATCCAATTTTTTTACAATAACGTAGAAAAAACTCGTCAAATACTTTTCGAGACAAGACCGAGGAGTTACGTAGCGGTGACTTATCGACCGCTCTGTTGCAGGGAGAGCGAACTCTGGAAAAATTGTGCAGAGCCTTTTGCCCCGCGGGCTAAGGGTATTTCACTAGGGGTGGGCACGCACCCTTCTTCGCTCACGTCCCACTCGAAATTTCGCTCGGCTAGCGCTTTTTTTAACATTTATTTGACAGCTGTCGTCCGCAATGCGTGCGCGTTTACCTACCTACCTACTGCGCAGGGTCTTGTGTCTTCGTGTCGAAATTGTTCGAGAGCAGAAACGACGAGCCTGAACGACACCCTTGGAAGGGATAAAAGTAATGCAAACTTAAGATGCTGATGTGACTGACCGATATTTCCTTACACAGCAAAGATTTGTAAACGTTTCGACATAATTACATGCGAGTCTCTTAAAAAATTAAACTTATATTTCGAATTCTCGAATTAGATTGAAGAATATTAAACATCAATTATTTTTTCTGTTGAAACGTCTATTTATAGTACGTTTAGGATTCATTCAAAGTAGAAAATTAAAAAGCAAAAACATTTATTTGACAGCTGTCGTCCGCAATGCATGCGCGTTTACCTACCTACCTACTGCGCAGGGTCTTGTGTCTTCGTGTCGAAATTGTTCGAGAGCAGAAACGACGAGCCTGAACGACACCCTTGGAAGGGATAAAAGTAATGCAAACTTAAGATGCTGATGTGACTGACCGATATTTCCTTACACAGCAAAGATTTGTAAACGTTTCGACATAATTACATGCGAGTCTCTTAAAAAATTAAACTTATATTTCGAATTCTCGAATTAGATTGAAGAATATTAAACATCAATTATTTTTTCTGTTGAAACGTCTATTTATAGTACGTTTAGGATTCATTCAAAGTAGAAAATTAAAAAGCAAAAAATATTACATAATCGAAATTTATTTGATTGTAAATTGTTTCTCTCTCATAAACATCTTTAAGCAAGCTACAATTTATCTAGCAATTATCATCTTATTGAAATTCAATTATTGTCTAATTGAAACATCAATTGTACATTTATAACATGTTAATTACATTTCAGTATAAATCACTCTATAACTCAATAAAAACATACGCTAATAACATCTCTTCATGACGATTATAATGTGATGTAATTAATTTTTTATTAATAAGGTGATTATGATCGCAAAAATACAAATCACACTTTTCACTAAAAGAGCAGACGATTTCTCGAAGGAACTGAATTCTCGAAATATCAACGGATAATTTCGCATTCTCCTTTAATAAAGCACATTTGTTATGCACCAATTACTTACACCCCCGCAGGCGCACGATCGCTAATTGCGGAACCACGTTTTGTAAAAAATCGGCGAGGAAATAACTAATAATCACGTAATGAGTCGCCGCGAGAGTCTGTCACGCGATGCAAACGAATCAACGATATCGTTGAGCTAGGTTAATTACCCCGTGACCCGCGCGTCAGAATGCGTGGCCGCGACACCCCACTTTCTCTATAGTTGTATTCGTGCATGGACTTTCCAAAGTGTTGGTACACGCGAAAATTGAATGCCACGCGCGACACAACACTTTAATATAGTCGTACTCGTCGCACCAACTCTAATTTCAATTAACACAGTTTTTTTTTTCATTCGTGATAGAGGATCGTATCAATCGAGAGACTATTTACATGAAATAGAGATATAAGTCACTATCCTATTTTTAATATATCGCGATTTTAGTTTTTACCGAATTACATCATTATTCCGCTTACAAACGCCAGATTAATTTACGCCGAAGATCAAGACAAATCGCAGCTCTTGTCGCCAGGGCTTCTTAAATCGATACTCGTTGCCGCGCGGCAAGGAGCCTTCCTTTCCCTATCGAGCATGTCCGGGAGAATGATAAAACGTTTAACGGCAGATAATCGTAGGAACCTCGATAAATCTAACGAGGTCTCGTTTCGCGTCGACCCTTTCTCCGATCGCCGATTTAAGCTCGCCGTTTCTGGATACAACCCCCAGAGCAGAATCCCGATAACGAAACGGGAACTCGGGCGTTTCTTTTTTCCTCGCCGTTCCACGGTAAAATAAAAAGAGCGAAAATAAACGACCATCGCGGTATTGCAGGGATTGCAGGGTATCCGAGCCTGAGAACTTTGTCAATTAGACGGCAACAATTAGTCGTAGCCGCCAGACACAGTAGCTGCCATCGTAGTGATAGGTAATAAGTAATAACGGATCATTGATCG